AATCTGTGACCTGACCGAGCCCAACGGACCTCAAATTCGGATTCAGCGGGTCGAAAAACATGTCCGTAGATGGGTCCGGTCAAATGCACAAACCACTTTTTTTTTTGTGTGCCGGTGTAATTTAAACCGGGATTAGACTAATTTGTGTAGTTATTCATTTCTGAACAAATATCGCAATTTATATATTTTATAATGCAAAATACTTGTATTTATTATTTAAAAATTTAGGAAATTTAAAATCTCAAAATCGTTAGGAATTAATTTATAATTTAAAAATTTTATGTACTTGGAGAATTTTAGGAAGTGATTCTTCTCTCAAATTCTTGTAATTTAAATAGAATTTTCTCCAAAAATAAACTAGATTTTGATTTTGTATTTAATTCTCTTAATCCGAACATAATCCTTTTTAAGACTATTTAATAGAGGTGTTAAAATTTTTTTTCTGAATTTCAATTAATAACATCTATACTCCTATTGCTATACTCCTTGCAACATTTATTACTTGCCATATTTTAACAATAAATAATATATTAACTAAATTCCGAATTTTACTTTTAAAATTATTCTTCGATTGTTTATTGTTTAGCAATAACGAACAACCCTAAAAATTAAGCAAATGAAAATTCGAAGATTAAAATGCAAAATTTAAATTTAAATTGCCTTTATTATTATCTGCTTTTACGTTTATAATTAGATAATTAATATTAATCCAAAGTTACAATTCCAAATAATATTTTATAGTTGCTAATATTTAACTAAACGTTATTTATTTTATTGACGCCGATTGTTCCATTTTCTTATTTATATCCAAGAGATGAAAACTTCCTGGGCGAATTTTTCCTGCTGTGAAATGCATTTTTTTATTAGAAGGCGATTATTATCCACAATAAAATACTATAATAAATCGTTATATTGATCGATAGCAGGCTAGGTCGTCTTCCGCCGCTTGCGTCGATCAAATCAAAGTACCAATCGGTAACAAAAATCTGATTATATTGTCTTCGAAAAAAATTTATATCTCCTTAATATTTTAAAATAATATAAAATACTAAGAAAAATATTTTGTTCTATGAATCAAAATTGTAGTTAAAATGTATGTACATACATACCAAATATAACGTTAGTTGGCTTAAACAAAAGAACAAAGCAGAAAATGTATTTCGTAAAAGCAACTGAAATTTTGTTGTATATAAAATAAAATATTTAATTTTGCAATTAAAAAATGTTGTAAAACTAAACAGTTTTTCTAAAGACACTAAATTTTTTTTCCAGTGTATATTCACTTTATGTCAGTATTAGAATGCCCGTTTGCGTAATAATGGCGCCACGCAGAATGTTTATTTTGCAACTATTGGAAGGTTTCTTCGCTGATTGTGAGATAGAATTATTTCTCTAAATCTAAAAGTATAATCCAATCGGCACAAAGTGCTTACTAAGCGCTAACTTCTGCCCGTTGAATGCAATAAATACATCTATCAATAAAGTTAAACCTTTTTTTCGAAGGTGTGAAGCACAGATTTCTATATTACTGCACTATCGCTATAACTTACGTGGTGGGAGTAAGATAAATTGAAGCCAGAATAGGACATGTCGCCATTTTGTGACATGGAAAAATTGTGCCAACTTCTTAGTGCATTCTTTTATATGACATATGAAATAAAATATAAAACGTAATTAACTTTAGAGCTGTTACATAATTTGACTCTTATATGTAATAATAAAAATAAAATTATAAATAATTAAATATCAGCAAAGACCGTGAAATCTAACAATTGAGATCGCAAAATGCCTACACGGTACAAAGCGGATCTTGGTGCTTTCATATAATATTAGTGTGAATCTTACAATTTTCGGTTCATATATAAACACCACGTGGTCGCCATTCGCGTGCTTCACTGCAGTTCCGAACCGAGTAGTATTTAAGGGAGGTTTCACCTTTGCCGGCCGTAACATTAGCCCTTTTTCATGAATTTTTATATAAGGAAATCTATTATATACAGTAAAACGCGGATTTTTGCATAAACTTATATATTATTTGAACAGCAAAAAAATATTTTTTATTTATATAAAAATGTATTTTAATGCCTCCAAGTAACGATTGAATGTGGCATGTCTTTCGAACTGACGAAAGTAATGACGAAAAAACGAATTAAGATATCGACTTGATTCTTTTTTCCTCTTGATCCTAATACTTTAATGCATGGCGTGAACTAAAATGATGTCAATTGCCTGCAATTTGTAAAAATGGTAGCATTTGAAAAAAATTTATTTTTTTGCCCTAAAATTTTTTTAAATTTTTGTTAATAACAAATTGAATGTTTGTTGTAAAATCATAATTTTAGTTCACGCCATGCGTTAAAGTATTAGGATCAAGAGAGAAAAAAATCAAGTCAATATCTTAATTTGTTTTTTCGTAATTACTTCCGTCAACTCGAAAAACATGCCACATTCAATCGCCACTTGGAGGCATTAAAATACATTTTTATATAAATAAAAAAATTTTTTTTTGCTGTTTAAATAATATATAATTTTATGCAAAAACTTGCGTTGTACTGTATATAATAGATTTGCTTTAAAAAATTCAATAAAACACAATAGAACTAATTTTACGGCCGACAAAGGTGAAACCTCCCTTAATATCACAATTAAGTAAATTACCGAAGGCAATCTAATAAATCGATGCACAAAGCATCTATTTAAATCCTGTGAAAATAACTTATTGCGAAAACTATGGTGTTATATGAACCGAAAATTGTAAGATTCACAATAATATTATATGGAACCACCAAGATCCGCTTTGTACCGTAAAATTATAAAATAAAATTAGATAGAATAATTGAAATGCATTGTCAAATATACCGAATATCAACAGAAATCATAACGTTACACTTACGTATAGTAGAGAAATCTGTGGTGTGAAGATAGCGTTATTTTCAACGCGTAATTTCAATGCCAGATGGCAATATTTAAAATGTAAGAAGAGTGAATGTATCTCTCTCTCTGCAGTTGTAGTGCGAAATTGGTTAAAGCCAGATCGAGATACGTCTACATGTGTCATGCGCTTTCAAATGCGAATTTGCAACACTCCGTTAGATCTATACATTAGCAATTAGTAATAGAAATCAATAAGGGATTCAATTTGAAGAACAGATTGATGCGCACATAAGCCGTATTGGTGCAAGTATACAAGATAAAGCGGACGCTGTTGTCCTGTATGCAACCTATTCCTGAAGACGAACCAATTGCTTCCACTTCCGCGGATACGCGAGTATCGAATAAACAGATACGAGAGAAGTAAGCGAATCGACTACGTATGTACGTGCAGCGTATGTACAAGTGATTCTAAGCAGCCTATAATAACGTTATACTTGCAATTAATATAAACAATCCTAATGCAATGCTCGAAACCATTTCCACTTAACTGAACAATCGCACACGTCGATGTTAAAGCAGCCTAATAATGTTATACTTACAATTACTATAAAAAATCCTAAAGTAATGCTCGAAACCATTTCTACTTGACTGAATTATAATCGCGCGAGACACGTCGATGTTAAACGGTACTAAATTAGAGAGAGTCGTTAAAAACAGAATTACGCATCCTACAGATCGATACAGATAGCGGAGGAGTTGGACGGGGACGAGGAGAATGATGACAACACCTGCTGTCACCGCGCGACCTTCTGCAGCCCGCGGTTACGGGAGATTCTTGTGACCGACGTGATCTCCACGTGTTTCGAGCTACAGCTGACATGGGCGGACCTCTTCTGGCTCGCGACCGTGAGCGGCATGACCCTGCTGACCTGGGCCGTACTGTACTTCCTGCTGGGCGACATGGTATTACCCGGCGGCAGTATATTCGGCCTCTTCGTCCTCGCGATCTTTTCCTACACCCTCGGCTGGACCCTCGCCTGCATTCCCCGGCTGCATCTGCCGCCCATCTTTGGCATGCTCTTCGCCGGTATAATACTACGTAATACCGACGTCTACGACATACACGAGATGATCGGGCCGGACCCGATCTCCAAGATCAGGACCTTCTGCATGGCCTTCATCATGGTACGTGCCGGTCTGCAGCTGACGACGACCGCGCTGAGGGCGCATCCGGTGTTCGTAATGATCCTGGCGCTCGTCCCGTGCACCGTCGAGATGCTGGCGGTCACCGTTGCGTGCAAATATCTCCTTGAATTCCCATGGAATTGGTCCTTCATGACGGGGTGAGTTAGCGCTACGTATTTCACTTTGAATTCACGGAAATGTTCACGAAAGGCCACGATTAATGGAAATTCTTATAATTCTTATTTAAAATTATTGAATTAAATTCTAAGCGCATGTAATTCTCTAATTAGGCTGTTCAATAAAAAAAATAACTTTTTCTTGAGTACAAAAATAATTGATTATTTAATTGAATTCTAAACGCATGCAACTCTCTAATTAATTTCAATAAAAATGACATTTTCTTCTCAAGTATATCTCTTTGAATGATAAAAACTATTGATTTGATATCAAAATTAATAAAATTAATTTAAGAGGGATTTCACCTTTGCCGGCCGTAAAATTAGCGCTTTTTCGTGAATTTTTTTAAGGAAATCTATTATATGCAGTAAAACGCGGATTTTTGCATAAACTTATATATTATTTAAACAGCAAAAAAAGAAATTTTTTTAAATATAAGTATTTTAATGCCTCTAAGTGGCGATTGAATGTGGCATGTTTTTCGAGCTGACGGAAGTAATTACGAAAAAACGAAATAAGATATCGACTTGATTCTTTTTTTCTTTTGATCCTAATACTTTAACGTATAGCGTGAACTAAAATGATGTTAATTGCCTAAAATTTGTAAAAATGGTAATTTAAACAAACAAATTTTTTTTGTCCTAAAAAGTTTTTAAATTTTTATTAATAACAAATTGAATATTTGTTGTAAAATCATGATTTGAGTTCACGCCATGCGTTAAAGTATTAGGCTCAAGAGAAAAAAAGAATCAAGTCGATATCTTAATAATAATTTGTTTTTTCGTAATTTGTTTTTTCGTAATTACGGCCAGTAAAGGTGAAACTCCCCTTAAATTCTAAAAAAAAACCTTTATATATCAATAATTCCAAAGATTCGAATATTTTTTAAATTTTGACATCTATATTGTTTCCACCATTTTTAAATCAACTTTGACATCAGATTAGTGTTCAGCGACTTGAGAAATCCTTAAAAAATAATGTAATTAAAATTATTTGGTAGATTTTTAAAAAGGTATATGTATATGTATGTAAGTCGCAACTTTGACATAATAGATTCTACATTAATAAAAAATATTTTTTAATCATAACAAATTCCTTAAAAGTCCTAATCATATTTAATTTTAATTGCAATAGAACTTCCATACATATTATTATATAAGACATTACATATTATAGTTATAATGCCAAAATACAGTCCCCTGAAGAAGCTCTTTTTGCAACTTCCACAATTTTTTCAAAATTGTGTTATAATAGAGCAATTTGAACAGAATTGTCTTTAATATCCAAAAAAACTACTACTAAATTACTAGAAACTTCGTTCTTGTGCATTCTTTTTATTGAACAGTATTAAATTTGTTGAATAGTCGCCAATTTAATTAAAATTAATATTTCATTGGACATACTGAGATAAATCATAATTTCATAAACACACGAAAAAAAACGTTTTGCTGTATCTAAAAATTTGGCTAAATACATCTAAAAATAATTAAATTAAATGTTGTACCATTTAAATAATTATATTAGACATTCAAGCTGGATGTAAGAATGTCAAAACTTTTTGCAGCATTATCATCATGCTTGAGTGTTTTACATAATTATATTGATAGTCCTCAAACACACACACACAACATAGTTATTTAAAGATCTATATCTAGCTAATTTTTTAAATATTTTAACAAAAGCATGTTCCATGCAAAGCATTCAAATATGAAACGTGTTACATCCTAAAATGTTCCTTAAAATATTTAAAAGATTTAAGACACACAATAATCTAAACTAATAATTTTAAGATTGGTTTTTATATATGTTATTGCAAGACTATAAGAACGATTTATGCAGTAATAAATTCTCTTTTAAGGACAATTGTGGCCTGCATGTCTCCTGTAATAACGGTAAGCTGTATGCTCACCTTAGCCGAACAGGGCTACGGCGAAGACATAGGACTCGCCAGTTTGTTAACTACTGCGACATCCATCGACGATGTCCACATCGTGTCTGTGTTTTCCATCTGCTTCTCTTTCGTTTTTAGCAACGGTACACAGAAATCGTAAGAAAAACGTAATGATGCATTGGCAATATTGGCACTTATACCATACGTATCTATGTACGAGGAAAAGTCAGAAAGTAAGTTTGCCGACTCAATAATTTTTTATTACTTTGCGGCCATCTCATCACATGTAATACATCCGTGATAATTAAATAGGGGAAAAAATTACTTACATATTTAGCTTACTTTCTGACTTTTCCTCGTAGTTTACTATTTTAATCCTTCGAGATGCGGAAGACACTTTGCATGCAGAAAGAAAATATTTCAAATCTTCAAGGAAGTAGAAAGTGTCAATGAGAATTTGAATAAAAATTCGTGGTTAGTTGCATTTTTGTATTAATTTACATTTAAACTGTAATTCCGAAAGAGGAGAAATATAAGTCGCTTGCAACCAAGAGCTATGCATCTTCAAGAAATCATATCTCGACACTTTCTTTATGAATTACAGTGTATACTAACGCGATAAATATTTCATAACTTCCACTAACGCATTAACGATTTGCAACGTCGAGTATCGCGAGCTGGTGGCGAAGAGCTATATAAAAAAAAATAAGTCTAAACGTATACAAAAAGCTTTCCATAAAGCCATGCGTCTTCCTAGATGACGGGAGAACAGAATGGTGGTCCTATATCCCCGGCGGGATTCGAGATTTCCTCCTGGGACTTATAGTGGGAATTATCTTGGGCTTCGCCCTGGTCTTTTTCCCTCATCGCAATCACGTAGGTACTTTATTCATTTCCTCGCGTCCAGAAGGAGCAACTTATATGAAATTCGGGTCACGTATCGCGAGAGGCACGTTCGTGTAATTCGAACTAACAAGAGCGGACTTATTAACGCCCATTTTTATTTTGCTTTATTAAAATATCGCTCGCGGTGCGCGCGAATAAAGTTTACGAAAAATAAAGAGAGCTCAACATACCTCCTTTATTCAAATGTAAGGGAAAGGGAGGCAAATAGTGTCACTTTAAATTTCTCCTCTTTCCCGCGTCTATTTTTCTCGTTAATAATAGAAACACAGTCTCAAGCATCTAATCATCTTCTGAAAAAGCCGTAAAAATCAAAAGCCAAATATAGCTAGCGGAGAAGTTTAAAAATTTTGCATTCGTGAAATAAGGTAAAACCTGGATCTTTTTTTAATATTTGAAGTTATATTTTCTTAATTGCAAATCGTTAAATGAGATCTAACCTATTCTA